AGGCAGGCAAGCAAAAGCTGATGGATTATGCATGATTAGCATTTTGGTGACTTTCAGTAGGTGTYGTGTTGTGTTACTGTGTGGTAACAACCTCTGGTATATTGAGGAATTTGAACACTGAAGTTTAACTTTTATGGTGAATTATTCATATTCTGTAGCAGTTTCGGAGGAGACAAAAATGCACCGTTCCTCTGAGACAGTAGTTCCAATTTGGGACTTTGAATGCGAAAGCGCCTTGCTGAATTTGGSTTTTGCAAGGTCTTTCAAGGTTTCCAGATTTGTTAATATTCTGTTTCTTCCCTGAATTTTCTGAAATAAAAGGTTAACTTTCTTTTTTTCTTTTTCTTTTTTCTTTCCTGAATAGTAGCATCTGTTTATGGTGGATTATTTTTGTGGGGGTTTGGATTCTGAAGTGCCAAATTAAAGCAGTGAGGCACTTGTGAATTGCCTCATTGCTTCACTGAAGGCAGTTTGGTGGAAGGCCATGTTGGCTGATTAGAGGCTGTTCCATGTAGGTCTGTTATGCCTGGTTTTTCCTGTTCTATGTGCTGTTTTGTGTGAATGAGGTTACAGGATGAAGGACTGTGGCCAGAACTTTGGAAGGACCCTAAAACTGACCTTCATTCTTTAAACAACAATTTTCCTGTGTTCTGTGCAGTGATGAGATTTTTTTTTTTATTATTCCTAATATAGTCTTGTAGATCCATCAAGCAGAACAGAAAAAGTGCACGAGTTTCTTTAGGAGGGAAGCATTTCTATAGTTCTACTTGAAACAAAACACAAAAGCTCTCAAGATCAGTGACACTAGAAATGGGACTTGTCATTCCATACTGAGCTATAGGTATTAGCAAAGCATTTGTGAAATCAGGTCATTAATTTGTGGATATTTTTAGCTTGGGTAATTATTATTTTACTCAYACACTATATTGAAAATGGAAATTGGTGAGCTCTCTAACCAGCCAATGTGGCTGCTGCAAGATGAGCATTAACACTGATCAACCTGATGCTTGTTTTGTGTGCACTTCCCACTAATATATGGAAAAAATGTCTACTGAGCGCAGCGACTGCTTCAGCTGGGAACTTGGCAATTCTTCAGCACAAGAAGCAGCCAATACCTCCCACAGAAACATTCAGCTGTGCTGGCCTTGCACGACACAAGTGCTTTCAGGAAGTTTTCGAAGGAGCTGTACAATCTCTTGTTGTCCCTGCTCGGGTGAGCTCTTTGGCAAACCTGTTAGGAAGGTACTGCTTGCTTTTCAGAGTTTGTGTGCTTGGAAATTACAGACGTGGCAGATGGTTCCCAGAAAGGAGACTTCAAATAAAGGAGGAGTTGTATCCTCTCACTCGAGCATGTTTAGATTTATGAATTTGTAATTATTATTTTATACTTCTTTAGGTTGTACTTCAAAGCTACCCTTGGAGGAGGTGACAGCAAAAACTTGGCTTTCTGGACCACAGGTCTGCACTCCCTAAGGAAAGCCTGAGCTGGAATTAACTCTTGGAGGGGCACATGCAGATACCAAAACACCCTTCAAGCTTCCAGCTGTCTGCTAGAGCTCTAAATGTTAACTGAGGATAGGGTTTGTTTGGGAGGTTTTTATAGACAGAATAGCCTTGAAGCTTTACATTTGTGACTTCTAATTACTGTTGCCTGGTGGCACCTTGGAATTTCATGATGTTGGCAGCGATTTGGCGTGGTGTTGTAATCTCTTGGGCATTAAGATACTGTTCTGTGATAATAATCAGCTGTGTAGACTATAAGAAATCATTTTAATAAACTAACTTGCAATTGCTGGTTACACAGACATTATCTCTACCTTGTRGGTGTTCTGTTAGTGATGATGAGCACTGGGCACCTGAACAGGAGCATTTGCAGGCTCAATTAGGAGCTGCCTGCCTTCATCCCTGCTGGCTCAGGGGTGCAGAATAATGAARTAACTTCACTTGAAATTACTGGTTTATCTTAGTAATAATGATGTTTGCTGTTAGGTTTTTGAACGGTTTGAGGTTTTTTGTTGTTGTTTTGTTGGGTKTTTTTCCTTCCAGTGAAGTTATTTTTGTGTAACTACCCTGAATAAAATAACCCTATGTGCCACTCTTGCAGGACGATATGTTATGCACGATTTTTTTTTTAAGATTCAAGTGGTGTCATGGTCATGGTCATAGTTTTTACTAGTGTTGGTTGAGCTCCATGGTAAACCATGTTGATAAAGCCACTAAAATACCTGTGTSTACAGAATACTGCACACATTGATTACATGGATCATGATGAACACATYTTTCAACTTCTCCATGTCCTTACAGTGGCTTGAGAAGCCTGGGTAAACCTCATCCCAGGGTTTGAGGCAGATTCTCCATGTCTTTGTCTGCTGCCTGGGCCCACATCAGGTTGTGCATGAATTGCTGSTGTGTTTTAAGCACTAGAATGCCTTTGCAGCAATTTCAATATTAGCCTTGGCATCGAGTCAATGTGTGTGTAAAGCAGTCTTGAGAAGGTTGGCATGAACATCCAGAATATTTGGGTTTTACGCCTCTCATTGAATCCATAGGTGAAGAGAAAAAYGTGTTTACGTGGTTAATGGCTTTGGAGAGTGTGCTAAATCTGCTTAGGAAGTTGCATCATTTTGGAGAGTTGTTCAGATTTCCTATGATACTAAAATAATTCAAAATGCCTTCCACACTCTTCCARGTCCTTTTTATTCCTTACCTCTTTTCTTGCCTGCTTTCTCCAGCCTCATGAAAAAAGTTGTAGTGTCWTCTGCAGAAGAGTCTTCTTCAGGTKTAGWCTTGTRTCTKGAATATGYTGRAGTTGAGATAAATTTTTAGGCTGGRTTATCAGCTCAGAGTTACTACTTCAGTATCTGTAAAGAAAAAAGGATATTTGGACATTTTTACTTTTTTTTTTTAGTCCAAATTGCTGGTTCTTCACTTGGAGCAGCAGCTGTGGGCATGTGGGGACACCAARAGCACCAACCATGTGTAGGGCTGGCTCATCTCCAGGTGCTTTGGTGTGGTGGTTTAACCACTTGAACCGTTCTCCAAGTGCTCTGTAGAACTTTTTGTTCTCTCCTGTTTTTGAAATCCCAGTTTTTGGTGTCAAGGACCTCCAGCTCTGTGCTCAGCAGGGCTGTCAGGGCAGCGTGTGGAGCTCTTTACAAGAACTCTTTGCTGAGCCAGTGCTGCGGTGCACGGAATGAACTGGCCTCTAATTTTCATGTTTCTTTTACCAGGCTACATTTTAGCTAAAAATGGAAGCTTGTGGCAGTGCAGATCTTTTTTTCATGAGTAGCATGTCTGCTTTTGTCCTTAAATGAGCTCCATCTTTAAGGTAGAATTGAAAGTCTCTGTTGCCAGGACTGTGTTCTGCATCCTGGGGTGCTTTCAGCATCCTCACGTGGATACTTAACCCTTTGAAAAATAAACTCAACTTTGTGGAAAAGTTTGCTATTACTTTTTCTTCCTCTTCTTGCAGGCTCGTTGAAGTAGCTTTTTTTTGTTTTGTTTTTGGTTTTCTTTTTTGCAGAAGGCATATGAAATCTGCAACASCTCTCCTGCATTAATGAGGGTGCAGCACAGGACAATAATGGGGTTTTGGCCTTTGCTATTGTGTATTCTCTGTGCTGTTACTGTGCCAGCATAAATTTACTTATTTACGTTTTAGGTAGTTCTTTCAGAATTTCATTAGATTTCATGATCTCTGTAGTGATGGCAAATTTTTTTCCTGTCAAGACTTCTGAAAGTTGACCAGAGTTGCTCTGTTTTCAGAACTTGAAATGGTCCCGTCATGTATTTGTGTCTGGGGGGGTGGAGTTCGGCCTCTAAGTGTGAGTTTCTGTTTTAAGTCCCAAAGTGTGTCATTCTGGCAATAACAAACAAAACTGCTTACAATGTGATGGTTTCATAATCACAGTATTAAACTGTTCATCTATAAATGAGCTTGGGTGAGGATGATCCATATCCTAAGTAGCTTAACCTCCATACCAGACACCGAAGTGGTTTGTAAATTCTCCAGCTAGCAGTGAACTGTAAAATCAGAAACATGCGTTGTGTGTGAGATTTCGGTTGAAAGTGTGTGGAGTTTTAGGTTGGCTTTCTGATTTCAGATTATTTTGCTTCAGTACCTTCTTGCTTTGTGCTCAGAATAATCTCCCCCTGTCGTGACACAGCGGCTTTGAACACTCAGGTGTCCCCTGACACCACCCCCAGCCCTTGTCTTGGTGTGTGACACAGCCAGATCCAGATGTTTGGGATGTATAAGTGCTTGGCAGTGTTTCAGATCTTGGAGTGAACTAAAATACTGCTTTGTGCTGCCAGGGGAAAAAATTGTTCCAAAATTTCTGATATTTTTTCCCCTTTCTGCAAAGCCRGTTTGTTAAACCAGGGCAGTTGTCCAGACTGCAAGTGTGAGTTATTTAATGTGTCAATTCTTTTTGTACATCCTAATATCATTAGTGATTTAAASTTGTAACTTTTCTAGAAAAGTGCTGTGCTCTCACTTGAGCTCGTTAGTAGGAGGTTTATGTAACTTCTTTTGATAAAATAGATATCATGATATTTAACTGTGCTTAGAAGGCAAATGTACCTCAGGAACAGGATTGAGCAGAAATAATTCCAGTGCGTTGAAAATKCTGATTTTGGTGGTGGTGGGGAACACTTTGAAGTACAGTGAAAATTGTATGAGTGAGACTATATTTTGTTGCAATCCTAAATTCTCTAATAGCATGGACTTCTCTATCACTACGGCAGGAGAATTGATCTCAGGATTTCATGGCTTTTCTTGGGAAAAAAAAGTCAAAATCTGCTTCTTGACATGAGCATGTCTTTCGGTTGTGTTACTAAAACTGTGCCCATTTCCTTCATGAAGACAGGCCAGCTGTTCAAGTTAGCTGACAAGTAGTCTGCACTTCGATAGTAGTTTAATTTCCGTCAGATTTGTTGAGAATTTATGCTCTTTCTTGATAAATACATTAATTGTGGTTTTGATGTCTTTTTTTTTCCAGAATTTACATGTTTGACAGCAGAAGTTGGCTTTCTACTGTAGTGAGAGAAAATGTAAGTAGTGAAAAAAATTAAAATTTATTTCCTAGTCCTTGAGAATTCCTATTTTTAAAAAGTGATTTATTCAGATTTTTGGCTCTTCATCTGTGCAAGCCTAAAGTACCTGTTTTCTGCTTTAGCATGTGTATKCTTCTGTCAACAGGAAGGATTTTAAAATGGCCAGGAAACCTGCTAAATAATAGATGTTAGTGCCTGCCTTCTGTTAGAGAGAGAGCTGGCAAAGCAGAGGGAGACCACAGCTGAAACTGTTTCATCTCAGTGGGGCAGGGAACTGTAATAAATAAAATGATGAGAATAGTCATTCTCTCATGAATGAAAAATTACTTCTCCRCCATGTTTGACAAAAGAAGGCCAAATTTCTTTTGAGCAAAGWGGCTCTTGTCAGAATGTTCTTTTCAATGTGTCAGTATTATTTAAACAGAACCTAAAAGTTTCAGAGTTTATATTCTGTGTAATTGTAATTATTACTAGTGTTCTTGGAGCAGTGAAATCTTCATTACCTTCCAGGCTCTAAGCTGGATTTCTGTGCAGCTCCTTAATCTGTGAGGAGCATTGTTAATTGGCCAAGTATTTGCTCAGTTAAATCTGTTAATTTTAATTACCAGATATTTACCTGTTTTTAAAAAAACAGACAGCAGGATTTATTTCCCTACCCATATCTCCCTCTGGATCCAAAGGCACCCTGAATTTTTCCTTCTMTTTTAGTTCATATAAGCAGCAGACAGAACACCTCCAATTTGTTCCCCGAGCAATTCCGTTCTCACTGTATTTTTAAATAAAAGCAAAATAAGAAATCAAGCTACACTTTTGCAAACAAAAAGAACCCTCAGCTTTTCAAAGGCAGCATGACGTCAGCTCACTGTAACTAACAGTGAGTGGTGTGTAATTCCTTTGTCATTGTGAAAATGTCCAAGCTGCTGTGCATGTTGCTAATAGGATTTCTGGTATCTGATAGATTAGCACAGCTTCATTTAATCAGATGACCTGCCCTGGGACTGTCTGGTGCCATACTGGGAGCTCCTTATTAAGGCTGTAAAGTTTGGGCTCCGTTTTTGCAAATGTTTTGCTTTTTCATCCATGTTGGAGCGATGCGTGTTAGCAGGAAAGAGGTTGAGGGAACAAATGTCAGCCAGCGTGTTCATGGGAGAAAAGAGATTTGCTAAACCTCCTTAGAAAATTACTGTGCTTGGGTAAAATATGAATTATTTAGCTTTAAACCCTCTGTGTTACCAGACTTTGCATCCACAGTGGCTTGGTGGGATTATGTTAGGCTTTGGTAGTAGTAATGTGTGCTAAAAATACCTTGTGGCAAGCAAAGTTTGACCAGCAAGGGATAGAAATTCTAAATATTTGACTTAATGATAGCTGTGATTTTACATGTGGGGTTTTTTTTTCTTTTAATCTGTAGAAATTATTCACAGGACAGAGAGAGGGAAGGAAGGAAAAAAGGAAAACTCTTTTTTTTTTCTTTAATAGGAATGGTATAAGAAAATTAAATAAGTTTTAGTTGTCATTGCTTCATTGCTATTACCAGAAAGGCATTTCAGAGAGGAATAATATTGAACAGAGAAATTTATGTTTGGATGGGTTGTATTCAGCTCTTCCCACTTATTATGTGGGCAAGCAGCAGGCTACAAATAAATGTGAAGGTATTAATGATACCTTGGTTTCAGTAACTAAACTTAATTGGATAAACAGTTTGAGCTGTAGAAAGGACACTGGAGTTGTTAAAATAAAATGAGTGAATTTAAGTTCTTCCTTGGCCTTTGAATTTTTGTGCAGAGCAGTGAGTGAGTAATTCTTATTCTTTAAAAAAGAATTAATCCACTGGGATCCTGAGTATATCTGGATTTACAGGAAGCACATGGAAGTTCTGTAAGGTTTTCTGCAGTTAAAAATGTTGTGCAAAGCTGTTGGGCACACACCTGACTCACTGGACCTACCTAACTCTCCTCTTACCCTGGAATATCMCTCATTTCACTTAGAGAAAAGCAAACTCTGAGCTGCTCCTTTGACATAAATGATAGGATAAATCCTTTTGATATAGCTGAATTGGGAAGTTTTATCATATATAGGAAAGTAAGAAATCAGTCAAAGTCAGTTGATTTTCCTGTGTGAACCAGAGGAACAAAGTGACTTTTCCAGGGGKAAGAAGAGATAAAGATTTGGGTCATGGGGAGGAGTGGGGAACACTGAACTGCCCCAAAGTGCACAGATTGTTATCCCCAGCAAGAAGGGAATTACCCACAAGGTATCCTGGTCAACAGGATTAGGGGAATTAAGCTTACACCAGAGACACTTAAGCACTTCAGCCCCTGCAAAGGTCTTGAGGGAGTTCAGGAAAGTGAATGTGTTATTCCTGAGAAGCTGCCTTCAGGGACACACTCACATATTCCAAAGAAAGTGAGGTAAGCATGAGTTTGGCTCCTACCTGTGAGGGTAATTTGGGGAAAAGGAGTGTGGAATTTGAGGAGTGACTTTTTTTTCCTGAGGTTTGCTTAATTTGGAAATGCAGTCACTTCTTTAAAAGCCCAGAAATAGAATCATCATCCACATCAATCTTRCAGATTCTTCTAGAAACCTTCTTATAAAATGGGGTTAAATGCCTTTAGAACAAGCCACGAAATAAAAATCTGTTACTTCATGATATTCAATTGTGCTTGTTTGTGATGAGCAGACTTTGTTCARTATATGATCCATGTCTGTAATAGGAATAAATCTGTATAAAAATGTCCCCTGTATCAAGAGTGAGAATAGATAAAAGCATTTTTCTCCCCATACATTCTTYTGACATTACCTGATGTCCTTGGTCTTTTAAAGATAATTTTTTTTAATACATGAGCCTAGTAAGCTGTGATTTACAGCATAGCTAAAGAGAACACGAGAGGTTGGAGCCCTTTTTTCCTCCCACAGATCTCATATTTCTACCATAAATTTAATTGTCTAAAAACTTAGTATGAAAGAAATAGAGGSATGGCCAAGCTGGCTTGCTGTTTATCCCATAAATTTTACAGTTTGCTTCAGAGAGCTCCTATATTTTAATGCCCTTGGCTGCTGTAGGGTTGTCATTTCCTGAGTGAGTGAGTTCAGTYGTGTTGGCAGGAATTAGAACTTCCTGTTGATGTTGAAACAACAAAGACTACAAAGAGAGTGTGGAAATCTGCTTTAAACAATTCCTATGGATGCTGACAGAAAAGCAGCTCAGAGTTTTGGTGTTGCTTGGAATGCATAGGAGCTAAATTGGAATTCTAGAAGTGGATCTGTCTTTGAGATAGGAACTTAGATGGATACAAAATGCTGCAGATGGGAAAAGTGAACTTTCTTAATATGACTTTTTTCCTAGGGTAAGGTTTCATCTCCTTAGTCTTCTTGTTCCATGCAATGAAGCTTTGTTTCATTTAAATGCAAGAGAATTCTCTCTCATGGTGCAGAAATTCTGCAGAAATAAATTGGTGCTATTTTAAGGAGAGCATATCTGCTCTGACTGACGTGAGATTATTCCTCCTATTGTATTTTTAAACAAAGCTGCATGCAAAGTCTTCAGTGCAGTTCCTTCTACCTGCAGCTTGAATTCTGGTGTCCTGAGTCTTTATTGCAATCTCATCAGTGAGTTGCTGTGACCTTGAGCAGAACACAAAAGTTTTGGAATTTCTTGCTCTGAAATAGGAATGATACCATCTGTAAATTCTTTGTGTGGAGTGGTCAGTATTTGCTTAGTAGGAAATAGGCTTGTATATTAACTTAGATAATGGCAGAGCTGGATAGGAAAAAGCTGAAAGATCTGAAAAATTGCAGTTTATTCTTCAAAACAGTCTTCAGAGTTTAATTTCTTTCTGACAAGAGTAGTGGATTAGTGTTCCAGCAGGTGTGTGAACAGCCCAGGAGCTGCAGACACACTCAGAACTGTAACAGAGGTCCAGCCCCACACACAGTGTTTGTGTGAGATGGAGAACAGAACATCTTGAGAAACAAAAGAGCATTCCAAAGAAAAGCAGGATAAYAAAACACTCAGGATGGGTTTTGTCTTAACTGGATTTTAGGCTGAGCTGAACAAGCAATCTTAAAAGGGCTTAGAGATGACCCTGGAAGCAGAAGAGAGAAAGAAGAGACCCAGTTTCACAATGAAATGAAAARGGCCTTGAAGTTGTGTGAGTGGAGGCTTTGGGAGAGAAGCCAACTAAAATTCCTTTTCTAAGATRCTGTGGGTTTCAGAGAAGAGGAAAAATTTGTAAATGATGCTATGACAAGACTGGCATCTGTTTCTTGAGGTTTTCAGTTTGGAATAATTACTATGGAGGGAGCTTCAACCTAAGTCTGGTTCTGGGGGATAGAAATATTTAAGGAATATTGAAATCTTAATTATTTTCAAACTTCTTTTAACAGTAATGTTTGTTCTACTGGTCTAATTTACCTTGACAGAATGTTCTCTGTTATTGTCACTGGATAAAAATATGGAAGTTATCCTCATCCTTCTCCTTGGGAAGGGCTTTAAGAGGAAAACAAAACCCACATGCTTGCAAAGATAAATAAGCTGATTAAATCTTAAYAGAATAATATGTAAAGCTGCTAGCRAAGCATTTTCTTTTATTTAATACTAAAGGGTCAATTCTGGCTAATAAAATGCTCTCMAATCACTCTATCAGTGTTAATTTATAAACTCCAGGTGCTCTGTGTAGTATTTGAAATTGGAACCAATTATCTTGTCTTGCAATAAAAGATAAAATTCATCAGCAAGTTTCTTCAGCATCTTCCATCGCTGTCAAGCTGCAGAGATTTTAAAACAAAAGCTTTAAGAACAGCTGAGTTGGAGATGTGGAATGCTAGGGAAAATGCCAGCAGTATCTTTCTGGAACAGACTTTTAAAGATTAGTTGTACCCTTAAAGGGGAAATAYCCATATGGTTTTGACGTTGGAAATCAGCCCAATGATTGAGCAACTCTATAGGCAAAAGTTGAGATTGTTTCAGTGGTTGTGATGTTTTAYATTTTATRGWGTCTCTGTCTTGCTGGCTCTATAAAATATATGTGAGTAATTTGGTGCCTGTGGATACCAAAAARCAGGGAAAACAGAGGTTTCAGGGGGAGAAATGTCTGCTGGCTGTGGGTTCTCAAACTCCTCCCTCAACCCAGCCTGCAGAACATGCCTGGGTTTACCCTGACAACATGTTCCTGTTAATCCACTCTGGTATCTCAGACATTTTAGCAGTTATCAAATAAAACCCTGAACAGCATTTGTGAGTGATGTGCTTTTATCCAGATAGCAGAACAGTATTTTTCACAACCATGATGTTGCAGAGAGTTTTTGCAGCATTCTGCAGGTGCTTGTCGGTCTAAATCTTTGTTCTTTGCTGGGAGGATTCCTCTCTCTGTTCTAAAGACCAACAGGGAAGTTCTGACTTCCACATCTAAAATTGGTGTTACCTGCTTAGTCACTCCTGGGCAACTTGAATTTATACAAAAATGAATCAAAAGCACTTTAGTGAAGAAAAAAAAAAAGGAAACAAGAGGCATGGAGGACAGAAATAAGCCTAAATTCTATTTTATTTCCTTTGGCTGGAAGCAAAGCCCATCCATTTGTGGTATCACTTTAATTCYAAGAWGATTTCAKACACATATTTTCACCTRTTTTCCAGTGTTTRWAARWMAWTSYRSAWTKWYTTWYAAATGCTGTTGGAAGTGGCTGAAAGGATTTGTAATTTCAAATTATGCCTTCTCCTAATTCTCCTGATTATCACCTGTTTTTCAGATTTCTGGTTGTTTCAGAGGTGGCAGTGGAGCTCACCTTTAGCACAGGAAAATGAGCGAGCTTGACCAGTTACGCCAGGAGGCCGAGCAACTGAAAAACCAAATCAGAGTATGTATTGTGCCTCAACACAAAAAAATGTGTCTTGAGTCTTGAGGAGGACAGAAATTATACCTTAAATGTTTCTCCAATGTCAAAGTTAATGTAAAAAGGGCAAGCACATGTGACTGCTTGAGAAAATTACTTTTTTGGTCTTTTATATTGCTTAGAAAATAATAGTTACATAAGCAATGCACAAAATTGCTGATCAAAATGAATGTTTACTGAGGTTTTTCTGAAGCAGACCATAACTATTGTTTAAAAAGTTCCTGCTTAAAATAAGGTCAGCAATGAGGTTACTCAAGGCTTTGTCTTGTTAGATCTTAAAAACCTCTGAGGTTGAAGGCTGCACAGCAGTTCCATTGCTGGAGTGTCTTTGTGCTGAAAGTCGTGTCACCTTTCTCCCAAAAGAAGCAGAAATTTCTGAGTTTCATGCAGAATGTGTTTTGACAGCAGGCAGTGGATTATGTTAATGCTGCTGTTAGTTAGGATGGGTTCTCTCTGGGTGACAAGCACAAATGTTTTCTGAACCTTGGCTTTAGGGGGCTTAATCAAAACTTGACAAAACAGAGAAAGAAATGCACAGAACTTCATCCAGTATTTCTGATTTCCTTCTCTTGCAGGATGCTAGGAAAGCATGTGCAGATGCCACCCTGGCTCAGGTAAGAATTTGGGAATTTAACAGGAATTAAGAAAATTTGTCTCTTTTACAAAAAGAAAATGCTATGTAAGAGGTGAATGCAAGTGAATCTGGTTTTGCCTCCTGTAGCAATTTTTTTTTTTTTTATTTTGCCTTTGGGTGTTTTCTTCCAGAAATAAGTATGTTTGTCCAGTTACTGAGAGCAGTGGCCTTGAGCAGTGGTTTCTTTGAGTGACTCAGGGCACATTTCTGCTGCTTAATGGAAAATAATGCTCTGCTCTGGAGCTGGGAGCAATAGTGTTGTTACCCTGATAATCAGAACCATAAGGCCTGCTGAGGTTAAACTACTTCAGTGTCTGCCACATTTATCTGTGCAGGAGGAGAAAACCCAGATCAAAGGTCTGAAATCCTAGAAGTCTAAGAAGATATGACCTAAACAAAACAATTTCTGGGAGTGTTTATAAATGCAATAGGCTGCTTTCTTCGTGTGATAAAGATGTGCTGCTTAAAATTACATAACTTTGGAATGGGCAATTAAAAAAAGATCAGTCAATATTGAGAATGTGGGACTTTGGGCTGCGTTGGAACTTTGTATGAAATGGTAATTGTGGAACAGTGAAGGGGAAAAGTCAGTGTGTGACATTTTGGTGTTTCAGATCACAGCCAATATCGACCCAGTGGGGAGAATCCAGATGCGCACTAGGAGAACACTGCGGGGACACCTGGCCAAAATTTATGCAATGCACTGGGGGACTGATTCCAGGTGGGTACAGAACTGGGCCACGGGGTTCACTGCTCTTCAGGAAATGAGTGCACAGTTCTTGGGAGCACAGGGACTCATGAATTCTAAGAGAACTTGGACAACCAAGAGAATTCAGAAGCAATGAGTGCTCCAATTTTCCTCCATRTTTTTGTAATCCAAATCTATTTTMATGCTAAATCCAAATTACATTTATTTAATGCCAAAATCCCAGTCCTTGTCTACTTGCCTGAAAAATACTGTGATGGTACCACATGAATTCTGAGGAACTGTGTAAATACCATATTTTTTCCTTCAATGCTTCCTGTTAACCACTGATTCATTTAAAGAGAAACTACATGACACTGGTGTCAGCTTCTTCCATTTTCTTTCCTTCACAATTCATCACAAAGATGTTCTTCCCTGTCTGCCCACAATRATCATGTTTCCCTCCTGTTTCCTCTTTAGGCTTCTAGTTAGTGCCTCCCAGGATGGCAAACTTATCATTTGGGACAGCTATACTACAAACAAGGTAAGGCCAACTTATGATGACTGTCTAATTCATTTGTGAATGCAGAAGAAGCAAATTTTCCTAGTCCTATATCTAAATTTTGAATTCCCCAAAACAATCAAGTTGTATGTGAAGAACACAGCAGTGTGTTCAGTGTGTGAAAATGTGCGCCACAAGTGGAAAATAAGGAAAGACTTAATTCTGAAGAACGTTTTGATTTGTTTTGATACTGCAGCTAAAGTGATTAACAGAGGGCAGGCAGTAATGAGCACGTTGCACCAGAAGGGTCAAAGATTTAGGCACAGCCATAGGAATTTGTTGCCTGYGGTGACGTCCTGAAAGACCTTCCATGTTCTAATGAGTCATCACTTCGTGGCTGCAATCACACCAGGCAGTTCAGGACTACTTTTGCTTTCATTTAACAGTGATTGGTATTTGCTGATTCTGGCCACTGTTACAGGCCTGGCAGCAATTCCCTTGTAGCCCTTTTTAGTTACATTGACAGAGCTGCTGCTGGTTTTATTTCAGATAAATTTTCCTAACTTAGCTCATCATRGCATTAAAACCAATGTTACCTGTGCACTGGAGCAAATGGCATAACTTAATATAAAATCACCTGCAGATTAAAAAAACCCTTCTCCTTTTTACCTTCATCCTCTCCTTTGACCCCAGCCTGCAGGTAAATGTCAGATAAATTACTGTGACTGCTTAAAGATGGTAAAATCATTACTGCATGCCATGATTTTTATATTAGCATCTTCAATTCTTACATCAATGCTAATTAATCCATGCAATATTCTTTTGRCAGTTCCAGAAAACACTGGAAGTATTGACACAGTGTTGTCATCAATTTGATCTTCACCTAATGATAGAATAAAATAGCTCAAAGTGAATATTCCAAATAGTTCTTTGGTAGAAGAGTTCCAGAAATGAGCTGGGTGTGGTTTTAGGACAGGGTTGTGGTTTTTTAACTGCTGATTGCTGTAGGATCACTGATTACTGTCTGTTCCTCTGCTTTTAATGAAATCTTTATTTAAGGAATTCAGGAAGATTGTTAATGTTGCATGAAATATCACCATTTCTCTAAGGGCAYCAGCCATTTCCTAAAGACTTTATGAACAAATTTGAGGGATGAATGCAACGAGTTAACAACACAGAGCAGGTTTATCTTCTATAATTATCTAAAAAAAGTTCTTTGAGCAGAGAATGACAAGGAAACATGGGGTAGTTATTTAAATATGAAGCTTGATTGCTTGCAGTGGGTTTCCAAAGAAGGATTTAAATGGCAGTGGAAGCAGCGATTTCCTTACTTGTTCATTCACAGCATCTAAGCCTGGAATTGGCAGTTTTGCTGACTGTGCTTGGAAGTCAATATTTTCCTGAACCTATAATAAACCAATAGTAATCAGAGCACTGAAATGAAATCATTCACTTTTTACCAAAATCGCTGATGAAACTGGATTCAGGAAAAGCAAATCTGATGTTTTATTACGTCATTACTTGTTCTGACAAGCAAGTTACCCTCAAAATAGTTCAATACTCAAAACAGCTGTTTTCTTCTTGCCTCTCTGCCAAAAAAATGATGTTTGTCTTGAGAGACAGGTGAAAAACTTCCTGCTGGTGCATCACTGAGCCCATTTTTGCAGCTGAAGTCCGTTCCTGTCTCTGTTTTAGGTGCATGCGATTCCCCTGCGCTCCTCCTGGGTCATGACTTGTGCATATGCTCCTTCTGGGAACTACGTGGCTTGTGGTGGGCTTGACAACATCTGCTCCATTTATAACTTGAAAACTCGTGAAGGGAATGTCCGTGTCAGCCGTGAGCTCGCTGGGCACACAGGTGAGGGCCTGCTCAGATGTTCCTCAGAACACAGTGAAGACTTAAAAAAAACATTTAAATATCATTTCCTAATTAGGAAAATACACTTCTTTTCTTAGGTAGGACCTTTGCTTGTTTTAAATGTTTTAAAGCATTTTTAAACAGTTGTTCTGCTGCAGAATTGAGCAAAAGGTGTAGCTGTAAGTTAATGTTTGCAGTTTTTCATATTTTGCTGTCGTTTGAATTCTGTGCTTTGTGAAATGGAGGTGGTTGGCAGGCAGGCTGGGTTTGTAGTCAGAGCAGTTCCATTGATGGTTTGGCCGATGGGATTTCAGGAAAAAAAGATACTTCAGAGCATTTAGATGAAATTCTTTGATGCCACTGTTGGGAAACATCCAATATCCATGCTCAGGTCTTTGTGCTGTCCAGGAATGTTTATTTTTCCTCAATGGTTGTCTCCTACAGTTGAGRTCATCAGCATTTGTTGCTGCTGGACTCAGTGACACCAAAATCCACTTTCTAAGGAAACACTTGTGCTTCTGCCCAGCTTGGCCAGTGGATTCCCCACTTTAGTCCCCCTTCCTCTGGCTGGTTGGGGTGGTCTGTAAAGAGCCATCTCATCCAAATCACTGCAGATTCCTCTACAAAAATCATCTGTTGCATTTTAGACTTCAGTGGTTCTTGCTGCAGCTTCAGGAGAGGGGAAGCAGTTTCTAACCAAAGCAGAATTGCCTTGTGAAGGGGAATCTCTGGCCTTAATTGTGCACTTTTCCCTCTGTTTCCAGGCTACTTGTCCTGCTGTCGTTTCCTGGATGATAATCAGATCGTCACCAGCTCTGGCGACACCACTTGGTAAGTTGGGGACACTGGGACAGCACTGGCAGGAAGGGCTTTCCAAACCCATTCTCTGGGACTGAAGGAAACTTTTTTCTTTATAAACCTTATCATCACCACAAAACTGGGGGGATTTCTGCTCATGTGTCASTTTTTGCTGATAATTTCTTCCTTCACATTCTGAAGAGTCTGACCTAATTCTGTGTTAAGATGTTCTGAGATTTTTTTTTTTCTCAATGTAACTATTTGGCTTTCAGAAATAACTGTATTAGATTAATGATTTTTTTCAAAACTCTTTTTGTATTCAGTATTTATTACTTAAAAAGTCATGTTTGGATATTTCTAACACAGAATGTAATAAATGTTGTTATTCAGAAGAGCTCCTAGAAAATATTCTACAGTGACAATAGCTGGGTTTTTTGAGGAGAATGTAGGTGTATGTCTTCATAAATACTGGCTTCTGAACTAAAAAAGACCTCCATCTTTTTTTCATGGATTTTTTTATTATATCTACTTCTTAAAAGCATCGCAGTTCTCCCAAGCAGCATCACTTAGAGCAAAGGTGGTCTAATAAATACCTCACCTACACAATGTCAGTCTATTTGAATGCCTGTTTATTATTAATCCACTGATTCTGAGTTGCTATTGAATATATATATATGAGATTAAAACCAAAAATGGTTCTGAATAGGTGCTGGTGTTTAGGAAAACCAAAACATGGTGATAAAACAATAAGAGAGGGCTTGTAAAAATGATGCTTTTTGTAAGAGAATGAAGCTGCTTCAGGAATTTCTGTAGTAATTCTACAACTGTCCTTACAATTGTCCTTGATATCACCTCAGCTCAACCAAGCTTCAAAGGCCTTTATCAAAGTCCAGGCATCTCGTTTGCCTGGTTTAAGTCTGCTGCTGATGGGGCTGAGAAATTACAGAAATTAGGAATCCTGACTTCCCAAAGTGTTCAGGCCTYTTCTTAAGGAGGTGCTAGTGTTCTGCCACCGTTTTACACTCTTAATTAGCACTGTAGTAGCGATTTGGCTGACTTGCAACTTTGAGATCAGACATAATTCACAAAGTTACTCATCCTCTGTGAGTTTAGAAAAATGAGAAATGCTGGCTCAGCTTTYGCTGTAGCCTTAACCACTGCTGCTTCAAATGAAGATGTAGCAGTACTGGGTAACAGCCATATCAGAAGAATTTGGGGTATGAACAGCCCTGAGTGTCAGTCAGCAGTTTTTGCCCTTTTTCARCTTAAAATCCCCCAATGTTTTAAAATTGAAGATGGCTTTTATGTATAATTACAATTGAACCAAAACCGTTTATTTCTATTGTCATTATCTTGYCAATACTTTCTGGAGTTTTATTTCAATAATGATACAAAGACCTTATAAAGGAACACAAACYGTTGATTTTTGCCTCTTCCAGTGCTCTCTGGGACATAGAAACTGGTCAGCAGACAACCACATTTACTGGGCACACTGGAGACGTGATGAGTTTGTCCCTTGCTCCCGATGCCCGGTGTTTTGTTTCTGGTGCCTGCGATGCCTCTGCCAAACTGTGGGATGTCAGAGAAGGAATGTGCCGGCAAACCTTCACCGGCCACGAGTCGGACATCAATGCCATCTGTGTACGTAGCTGCTTCATTTAACATTTTCTATTTCTCTGCTCTTTAGCATGATAAAGCATTTCCAGTTTTTTGGTTTTTTTTTTTTTAATAATAGTTTGTGGAGCTGAGGGAATTACCTGAAACTCGTGGTGATGAAATGGGGTGTTGGTTCATGAATTTCTTCCAGTGTGGAGTTGTGCATCCTCTTCTTTTGCTGCTTTCTGCTGTGATGCAGAGGAACCAAACCTGAAATTATGTTTTTTTTCCTCCCTCCCTAAAGTTCTTCCCCAACGGCAACGCCTTTGCCACGGGCTCGGACGATGCCACGTGCCGGCTCTTTGACCTGAGGGCTGACCAGGAGCTGATGGTTTATTCCCACGACAACATCATCTGTGGCATCACCTCTGTAGCATTTTCCAAGAGTGGCCGCCTGCTCCTAGCTGGGTATGATGACTTCAACTGCAACGTGTGGGACACGCTGAAAGCTGATAGAGCAGGTAAATGGTTTTGGGTTTGAATCTTGGAAACTTTAATAATTAATGTTTTTGATAAAAAAATATTGAATATTGGGCATTTGATTGGAGTCCCCACCCCTGGGGGTTTCCAGCTCTGGGCTGGGGTTGGACTCAGTGGCCTTTTCCAGCCTCTGATTCTGTGAATTCTGTGAATTTTGTGTGAATTGAGTCTCATGCACAGATCTGTCAGCACTCACTGTCTCAACTTCCGAGCTCTGTGAAAAGCTCTTTAGGCTGCCCAGTGATGTTACAAATCCATTGGAATCCTGCTCAAGGATGGATGCTTGGGAACAGGAAGATTGCCATTAAAAACAAGGGCTTGGGGTGGAGGGATATTCTTTTTTAGACTTTATGGCTTTGTTTATGCATTAACTATTCAAAGCAATTCAACATTAATGTAGCTATTTATACACAAGAATTTTTTTCCTGGTATTTGTAGCRGTAGTTGTAGAGACAACCAGCAAAACAACAGAGACTGTGGAGTTTTATCTTTTGAGGAAACAAAAATGCAATTCATGATCCAGAGATGAAAATTATTTAACTTCAGTTCTTTAAAAATGAAAACTTTTGTTGGAGAAAAGGTATAAATTAGGCCACAAATGTTTTATTATTCTCATCAGAACAGGAGATGGGAACAAATATTCTGCATATTGAAATCTCCCAATAGTTCAGATTGCTGGGAGATTTGGCACCTCTCACAATAAACACTTCTGTATTTTCTGATCTTGGTACTTCTGTATTAAACACCTTTGTGGTTCTGTGTTCAGTACAAGTATTGAAGAGTTCTTGGTGCTGATTTTGTTTTGCCAGATTGCAGCACTTGGTGGTAGAATGAGGAGAGTTCTGTGAGCMCTCTAATTCATGTAGAAAGATTAATTTCAAGTCCATCAAGAATATCTTGGCTCAGTGCTCTGGACTGGAAAGAGTTTGAACATAATTAGGTTTTCTTTTTACCTCCTTGAAACTGTTTAAATTAAAGGGGATAGAGGAAAATGTTGTCTCCCTTAATTTTTCTGTTTAGTGTCTCAATTCTTTTTTTTAATGGTGCTGTAATTGAATTGTATTAGATCTCCATATTGACAACTAGATTGTGTGGAGGAGTCTGTCTTGTGAATGTAGTAAGAGAAAATTGGATGAAAAATGCTTTAGAGTTCATACCACAATTCAGTTTAAATTCTGGTTTTCAARCAGAACTTTTTACAAATGTAAAAATTCTGTAAAATTAGCTGATCTTTATCACTGTGGTGAGGAACAAAAGCTGTGCAGTGCATGGTCATAGTGCATCTATTGCTGTGACATTGTCAGAATCTTCAGGGCTGTCACCTCCCAGCTTAGGAGAGGTTGTAATTAAGGAGAATGACCAGTAAAGGTCATAATTAAGGGGAATATAGAAAGAAAATTTTGGAATAATGCATTTACAGAATTAATGTGAATTGTGAATCTACCTTGTGAACTGACCCATATCTGAGTCTGTGCTTATAAAGCATTTAAAAATTCCAGCCATGTCCATCCAGAATTTTTGGCTGTATAGTCTGGCTAATCCAAACTTGCTGTTACTTGGACTGAGACAGGAAATCATCATAAAAATGCAATTTCTTTGTTGTATTTCCAATGTCCAGGTGTCCTTGCTGGTCACGATAACCGTGTCAGTTGCTTAGGAGTGACTGATGATGGCATGGCAGTGGCAACAGGGTCATGGGACAGCTTCCTCAAGATCTGGAACTGAAGTAGGTAAGTACCCACCTCATTAAGGCTGCTTTGGGGGCCCAAAATGCTTTTTATTTTCCCAGCAGTGCTGGGCTTTTCATTAAATTGGGAAAGTCACTGAGTGAAAAATCCAAACAGTTGGGTGTTTTAGAAGACCATCAGTTTTATGTGCTGCCATTCTTCTGGTGGCTGTTTTTGACAGTGGTTTTTGAGTAAACAAATGTCACTGGGAAAGGGTGGGATAACAATGGATGTRGCAGTGGTGGGAGAGCAGAGCTCACCACTTGTTTACAGTTCATCAAAGTCCAGCTCTCACCCAATGTTTCTGTTTGTGTGCCAGAAGAGCAGCGGACTCCACGACTGGAAGAAGTTTCCAACGGTTGAAAAATTAAAAAACGATAGCATATCCAATCCAACCATACTAACTCGGACCCCCATCCTCCCCAACTTCAAAGGGCAAGATCTTTTCCGTCTCCTGTTGCTGAAATGAAGAGCACAATTACCTTTCCAAGAAGAATTTCTGTGTTGTAAGCAAAATGAAATTGTGCATTCCTTTTGGGACCATTTTTTTTTGTCTTGAGAATTTAAAAAAAAAAGAAAAAAAATGAAACACTATCATAAAAGCATGACCAGAAAATAAACTTGAGCATAATTGTGAAACAGTTAGCTTTCACTGTAGTTTCCAAGTTGAAGTTAAGGACTTTATCTCACACACTTGCAAATTTTAAAGTCATGTTTGTAGCAGGATTTTTTTCAAGTTTCCTTTTTAAATACATTTCCTTCTGTATTTAATTGAGCAAAACAAGGGAGTCCTAGCCCAGAGCACCTGGGGGTTGTTAACGCTGTAAATTTAGTCCCTAATTTTTTTTATTTTTATTTTCTAGTATCACAGATAATTGTTGCACAAAACTTGGCATATATAGGATAATGTTAAGCAGTAAGGTAACCAAGCACATGCTGTAAAAGGTAATGAATGCTTGTTTAAAGAATCCTTTCACCTTTTATGGATAACAAATGCAATCCTTGGTCCCTCCTGCCCCCCCTTTTTTCACCACACTGATTTTTTTAATCTGTTTTGGTTTTGTCCACTTGGAAGGGCAGTTTATATATCCTAACACTATCCTATAAAGTCTCAACAACCAGGAATCTCTGTTTTCAAAAGAGACCTATCCTACACTTGGGTATTGAGTCAATTCTTTGTGTATGAAATGATGTACAAATCAATGTTTTGAAAATAATGATCTTGAACTTTCTAAGTTAAACAGAAAAAAAAAAAACCTTTTTTGATTGTTTGCCATATTGGGTGGGTTTACTCTTAGAATCGCATGCTGTAGAAATGCTAAAAAGTGCATATTGGACTAAGTCCTTAGATGTTTTTTCTTTGAAGAAATAACCTGTTTAAAAACTGTAACCATTGTCGCTGTATTCATTTATTGTTGCTACTCTGTGCATAAATCTATGAAGAACTCCAGTACAAAGCTATGCACGTTTTGGAGTAGCGTGATAAGTCACTTCTTTTTTTTTTTTTTTTTTTTTTTTTTTTTTTTTTTTAATTGAAAAAAGAAACAGCCTGTTCAAACAATCGCTGTCAAAGATTCTGGGGTGTGGGAGGAGGGAACCTAGACCATCTTCTTTATAAATCAGTTCCTCACAGCCAGTTCCTCTTGCAGGATGAGTCCTTTGCATCTGATCAGAGTCATTTTTGTAATGAGCAGGTTTTCCTGGCTTTCTTTTCAAATAAAATGTTAAAAGCAGCAGTGTTTGGACAGCAGATTGTTCTGTTAAACTTTTCCTATCTTCTCACTGTATCCAGAAATGCTCCTTCCTAGCAGCAGTAGTAGCTTTTCTCCATTTTGTTTTTTCTGCAACATTCTGTACAAAAATGTGCTGTAATTGTGCGTTAGGCCTGGATTTGGCATAAAAGATGAGTTCCCTCTTACTCTCTTTCATGAAACTACTCTGTAGAGCTTTCTCCACGCCCTGTATCCCTCTTCACCTTTTGTATTTAATTTTAAAGTCAGTGTACTTCAAGAAAGCTGGATGCAAGATAGATACTATATTAAAATGTAATGTTATTTAAGATGTAATAAAGCAGTTTGACATGAGTTTGGACTGATCTGTTTTGCAGCTTCTTGTTCAACGGGCAGAAAACATCAGGCAGGATTGGAGTTGTGAAAAAAACACACAAGAGGAAAGAATGCTGTCCCCAGACTAATGGTTTGGTGGTTTAAATTAATTTAATTAATTAAATTGTTAATTAATTAACCAGATTAATGGTTAATTCACAGGGAGAATATGCACTTAAATCCAAATACATGGAGTCAATACACTTCATGTGGTGCACATCACAAAAATGCTTTGTGCAAGAAGAGTGGAACACCTGAAGTARGAAATCAAAGCCAAACACTTCAGTAATTTTTTTAAACTTTTACATCTTTTAATAGGGAAAGAATTGAGTGGAACATCTTGGCGTTGCTGCCACGTGAGGATCTGGCCACACCAGCTCTGTTGGCACTGTTAGATTGACAGGGTAAGAAATCATTTCCATGCTCAGTAACAACACAATCTCCCCAARGCACAGTTTCATCTTTAAAAAAAAAATTGAATTGTTTTATACCCAGAGAAGCAGATTCCTGAAATGAAGTGTTGAAAAGCAGTCAGTTCAACCACTTGGTCTTGGTTGACTTGTTTTGTGTTTTTAGTGGGTAAAGTCCCATCTCTTGTTCTGACCTAAACAAAAGTGGATTTTCCCTCATTTCACATCAACCAAGAGAAATTCCAATGCCATGGCTTGATCTCATACCAAACATGGAAATTGTCAGCCTCAATGGAGAGGTTTTTAAAAGCTGKGAGTATGGAAAATATGATGGTGACATTGCTTAACCAGCAGCCATTAACTAACTGTGAGCACTGGGGTTTTGGACTGCACAGGACTGGTGAGTAGCTCATGGCTGCAAATGCTTCAGATGGGAATTCAGATTTAGTGGTTTCCAATTCCAAATGGTATAGCAGGGTTTTTTTTCCACTCATGGAATATTTTTATTCCAGCAGATGTTTCATATGTGACTGTCCAGTCTGTAATAAATTCAGTGTTTTACCTTCCTTAATCTCAATTCATGTGTTAAATCTGTGTCCTGCCTGTGCTGGCAATAAAATTCCAGACTTCTTGTGTCAAGAGGCTGATGKGCAGCCTTTGTGATTTATTTGAAATGCAAACAGTTGCAGTTACCTCTTGTTACTCTTACTTTTGTGTTAGAAACCAAATTTTGTTCGATTTAAACATCTCTCAATCTTTGTGTGCTTGGTTATTCCAAGAGCTGCAACTCTTGAAAAATGAGTGTGCAAAGGGAGCAGCACTGAATTCTTGACTGACTCAGGGCCAAAACTCAGAGTTTTGAATGCTTTTAATTTTAGGATGTACCCAAATCAAAATGCTTTCTGTAATTTTACCTACAAGCTTTTCCTGGAGGCAGTGAAAAGATTCTGACTCCGGAGATAGTTGTGGGATGTGGTTCCAAAAAGAGCAGCTTCCCCCAGCTGCTGATGAATTCCTGGTTCAAATTCCATGACCTGAGAACGCAAATCTGTGAGAATGGGATTGGAATCTTAGAGTTTCAGGGAAGGAGTGGGAGATGAGAGAACAGATTTCTCAATCCCAGGATCTGCAGTTTGAGACCCTTACTGTTTTCTGTGCYACTCATGGCCTTTAATTTCTTAGTGAATTAAATAAAAGATGTGRAAAAAAAAAATTGAGTTGGGCATTCTACCTTTTGACCATGAAGTCCCCTGGAGTGTTTTAAATCAGCTGTGAAACACACTTTAAATGACTGATTGAATCATGCCCCATAGGAGCTAAAAATAGAATAATCTGGTTTCTGGGAAGTGGCAGAGTAAATAAAGAAAAATAAAATCTGTCACCCGCAGTGAGTTTGGTGTGACTTGGTCTGAAGCAAGTGAGGATCCTGTGTGGTTTTATGATTAACRCCTTTTAGTGTAGGTGTAACCATGAATTCACATTGGAGGGGAAGGAAGAAAAGAAGTGACTGATGAACAAGTTYTAACAGCAGCTGGCTATTTTTGTATTGGGATGTTCTCTTTTTTCTTCATCTGATATTTGAAAATCTGCCTCTGCTTTAACYATCAGACTACTCAAGAATCTGAGCTACCCAATAATGCTTTTTTTTGCATTGGGATATTTGTGTAATATTTGAAAATCTGCCTCTGCTTTGAACATTGGGCTACCCAGTAATCTGAGTTACTCMATAATGCTATTTTTGCATTGGAGTATTTTCTTTTTCTTCATCCAACATTTGAAAATTTGCCTCTGCTTTAAACATCGGGCTTCTCAATAATCTGAGCTACTCAATAATGCTAATTTTGCATTAGGATGTTCTCATTTTCTTCATCCAACATTTGAAAATCTGCCTCTGCTTTAACCATCAGGCTGCCCAATAATCTGAGCTGTTTTTTGATGTCGCATTCCAACGTGTAAGAATTCTCCTGCAGTACATGAAAAGTTGGATTTTTTTTCTGTCTCAGGGCTGTGTGAGGAAGTTTGGAAACATTAAACCCTAAATTTCAGTTTCCTTCTTGCCTGGTTCATCCCTGTCCCCCCTGCCTTGTCACAATTCCCAGCGATGGCAGCAGCCATCTGCTGTCCTGCACGGCAGCTGCCAGATGGGCTTTGTCCTTGATTTAAACATCACTGCTYTGCTCCACTGAACCTGATCAGTTCAAAAACTATTCCTGCTCTATAAAAATAATTAGAAAAATGGCATAAAGAATTATATAAAAAAATATTCCTCTGTTCTAAGCGCTCCTGGGTGCTGTTTCCTTGGTTCAGCTCTGTGAAAAGCCCTGAGGGTGTTGAGCCCGACCTGCCTGGAGCCAGTTCCAGCCCTGCCTGCCCGGGTTAAAGCTTCACTCCAGGAATTGCTGCTGGGACAATCTGCAGTTCCCATTTCCTGGCAGGAGATGAACATGACTGGCACATTCCTGGCCTGGCCACAGGGCCACAGTTGGAGCTGGGCTTTGCCTGCTCAGTCTGGAACCTCTTAGTGCAGGCGAGGGAGGAATTTCCTCCTCTAAAGGAGTTAAATCAACTCGGTGGAAGCAGGAAAGCTTCAAATATTGATCAATTGTGGGCTCCCAGATCAGGAGTTGATGTTTCCTTTTGATAATCTGGGCCTGTTCGCAGTAAGTTCATTAAAGGAAAGCCAGGCTGAATCATTCTGAGGCTGTCTGCTCAGCTTTTTCTTCTAATGTCAATACTAAAGAGTCTCCAATGAGTTTTTTTAAATAAGGGATAGTAAAATTTGTTAAATTATCCAGTGTTTCACTTAACTGCGATAAGCAAGCCATAGAAATGTGAATAAAAACATTGAACTTCTCATTGTTCAGAGAGCTGACTGCTCAAAACTCACCCTTCAGGAATACAGCCCTGCACAATGCTCATTCAAGTAATTCCTGGCTTAACCCAAGCCAATTTTGTCATAAAATAGAACAAAGAGAGTCTTCCTCCTTTAATTATTCATAAGCCATTTGCTGTGGCTGAGTGCTGTGAGATGTGATTGACCCTGAGAGGGAATCGGCTGGGGAGCTGGAAGTGCCAAATGAAAAGTTTATTTGATGTAACAGATTTTAAAATGGCAAAATAGATAAGGGAGGGGAAAGTCTGTTAAAAAGGGTGAATAAAAAAAAGAAAAAAAAATGGGAAAACGCTGAGTTCCCAGGGATTTGTCTGAAAGCACAAACAGTGCAGCTCCATCTGGTGGTACAAACGCCATGAAATGGGTGGTCAGTACAGGGAAAATGTGTGTGACAAAGCAGCCTGTGCAGAATTTGGCTGCAATTCGTGTTCCTGCACATGGAACCCCTCCTTCCTGCGTCTCCAGGGCCCATTGAAYGTGTTCGGGTTTTTCCATAAGGCCTTACAAAAAAAACAAATTCTCCCCGATGTTTACTTTTAGAGGGATTTTATGTAAAATCCCAGTGGTTTATGTAAAAAAACCTCARATGGTGAAGATGGAGAGGTTAAAAATGAGCCAGAGTTAACTGGAGCAGGGTCTCTGGGACAACTTTAAATCCAAGTCTTATTTAGAAAGGATTCCCTTCTCTCCCCCAGTATTTCTGAACTCCCTCTCAACCTTTTTGTCACAGCCCTGATCAAAATCCCTGCTCTTTACAGTCTTCTTCCTCTGCTTGAGGTAGGAATGGGGAGTTGGAGTCGCTAATGAAAGTATTTTAATTGGCAGTATTCACTAATGAAGRTATTTTGATTGGCAKGGTRCTCGTGCTGATCTCAGCTTGGTGCYCTGTGCTGGCCATGGCAGGAAAGTCCCTCTGCAGCAGGAATTGGGATTTTGCTGTTGCACCTGACAGAACCATCACACCCATCCCAAACCCCTGCTCATAAAAGCAAACCAATTT